CATCTACATGTGGTGTTCTAACGTCATCTCCATAGTCATAATAATATGGTGCTGGAGCTGGGTCAGGCAATGTCATATCTGCCATTTCATAAACTCTTAAATATTTCTTTTGTTCGTCTCCATAGAAGTTTAAGTAGCAGTTGTTGTCTAATGGAACTTTAACTTGTGTACCATCGTTCTTTTTATAGCTTACATACATTTCATTGTTATTTTTCGGAATGAGTTTATACCGTGTACCATTTTCTAAGGACTGTACCAACTGCCATCTAAAATATTTATTTTCTTCATTGACAGAAAGGTCACCAACAATAGTCTCAATATTTTTTGTTCCAACTAAACTTTGGTATATTTCATTGACATATGTTTTATCTGCTTTATTTTCAAGGCTAACGTTTAAGTCTGTTATTTCAGAAGATGTATGTGTATGTCCAACGGCACTTTTCCTGTTTAAGGTTTCTTGTAAGTTTGTAATATTTGCAATGGTATGTGTATGTCCAACGGCACTTTTACTGTTTAAGGTTTCTTGTAAGTTTGTAATATTTGCAATGGTATGTATATGAGTCTTTTTAGAATATTCGTTTTCAGCTCTTGTCACTTCACTTGACATTTTATTGTCAACATATGTTTTGTCCGCTAGTTCAGGATGAGTATGTTCTTTCGTTGCATATGTTGCATCTGCTCTGTCATGTTCTTCTTGAACTTTTTCAATGACATACTCTTTGTCAGCTTTGTTGTCAATATCTGCCTTCAAAAGAAGTTCATCTATAGGTTTCTCGTTTAAAGTTCTTTTTGTTGGATTTATACAAACAGTATGGTTCTTACTGTCTTGAAACAGAAACTCGTCTGTCAATGGGTTTATCGTCAGTTTTAAGTTTCCTTCTTTCAATGACTCAGATATCTTAGAATAGTTTGAAAAGTTTGTTGTTCTTATTTAGAGCTTGCAAAATGAGTTGTCGGTTGTGTTGTATTTCTCTCATAGACGCTGTTTCTTTCGACATTTTTATTCTAGATAAAATATGCTTTCAATAGAAAAAGAAAATTCAAGAGTTGCTACAACTAAACCATTAGATGAACTTTTTACGAATGTCGGTCAAAAGTTTGAGACAGAGACCGTAAAGCATGAAGGCTATCGTTTTGACTACCCACTAAGATGGTTAAGAGACCCATCCGTCACAAAAGCTATTGGCTTTCGTAGAATGAAGTTCATTTCAGAAGCCATACATGGTTTCCCATTTACGGTCGGTTTTGAAGTTCGATACTATAACAAAGAAAAACGTACGTATGAGAAATTTGAACAGGGAAAACTTTTACAAGTGAATTTGCTTGTAAACTTAGAAACAACTCTTCAAGCTTTTCAAGAAAAAATAAACGATATCTATCTCGAATATGCAAAACAGTACAACATTGACGAAGGAGAGTACCATCTCGATATTATATATGACAGGAAAAATGCAACTGTTAAAATCAATAGAATAGAAGACCTTGGAGAAGACGTTTATATTTCTACAAAATATAACAACTTGGCATGGTATAGATTTTTGAGGATGTTAAATCAGCCTGCAGAATATCCAGTACACCGAACTTTTATGAAGTCGAAAACCCTAATGGAACATATGAAAATGTTTTCGACTCAGATGCTATTATAGTTCATGCTTCATTTTCTGGTGCACAAAACTCTTTTTTATGCTTGGCAAATGACTTTTACGAAAAACCTACAAAGCTATACGAACCACCAAGTGGAAGTATTTCAGACTTTCAAGTATGGTTTACTACAGATGGAAGAAAGAGAATAATTCCATTATACCACGCGTTTTACTTAGAACTTAGTTTCATATACAACTACTATCGAACGGTAAAAATATGATTTTTTAATACGGTTGAGGTGTTGGATTTGGTTGCCAACTAGACTGTGGTGCAGGTTCAGGCTGTTGTATAACAGGAGCTTGCTCTTCTGGTTCAGGGTCTTTAGGTATAATACCAACGAACTGACCTACTCTTTTGCCAATATTTTTGACTCCGTTCCAAATTCCTCTTCCGACAGATTTTATTCCATTCCATATACCTCTTCCAACATTTCGAAAGAAGTTTCCTATTCTTCCAAAGAAACCCATTTTACTATATGTAAAAATCTAATGTCCACCTAGTCTCTTACGTTTCCTTCTGAGTTCCATAGCATTCTTTAACTGGAGCTCATACATTCTATTTCTCCTCTGGTAGAAAACATACTCTGGGTCAACTCCTGTGTTCGCGTCATCTGCATAGAGTTGTTTATATCCCACTTCAGGGTTTGTAAAAACTCTTTCCATCTCATATTTGCATACCATGGTGGCAAACCTAACGCAGCGTCATTTGACATGGCAGTTTGCATTTGTACATCTGTTGGCACTTGACCATAGTTTGCCATTGCAGTTTGTATTCTAACTTCATTTGGAATATTCTCTGGGTTTGGTTGTCCAGGTTGCTGTGCATTCGCTAAGTTCTGTGCGTCCATTTAATATTAGATAAAAATATCTCTTACGAGTACATATGCTGAACATTTGCAGGCATTGGTTCATCTTCATATTCTCTATATCTTTCTGCCACGTCAAATAAGTAAATGACACAATGGAAAAAACCTAAAACAAGTAGTCCTATTTCAAACCACATTTACTTACTAGTAAAATTTCTTTGTTATGACACTTTTTCCGGTTTATAGGACCTCTCTCATATTCTATCTTGTCATATATAAACTCATAGTCATGTATGTCCTCTAACCATCTCATGACACTTTCCAAACCACTTTTATCGGATGTAAAGTAAAAGCATGGATGGTTATGTAAAACGTCTAAAGTTTCTAAAGAGTCTCTCAAAGTCCAGTCTACTTGGTATTGAAATCGTATGTGTTATAGAACGGCGGGTCTACTATAAAGAAAACATTTTCCTTGTCTTTATATTTTTCATACAACTCTGTCCAATGACATCTCACAAACTCTATACCCTCAGTATATTTTTCTATGTTCTTTTTGAAAACCTTTGTATAGTTAAGATATAAAACTTTTGACATAAGTGTTTCAATGTCATGAACTCTTATAGAACCACTATATAATAGTCTAGAAGATATACTATCCCAGTCAATATACTCTGCCTTTTTCAAAACCTCTCTGACAGTATTTTTCTTATCTAATGGTATACGTTCCATCTTACCTATAGGTATCTTTTCTTTTAACTCTTTCAATATTTTGTTTGTGTCTGGTATATGTTTGAGACGGTTCATATAGTTGTCGAAGTCATTGCATATAATCTTTGAGTCTGGGAATACGGTATGGCACAAATGAGATATATAGAAACTTCCACCGAACAAATCTACAAATGTTAGACCATTCGGTAGTTTCTTAAGTTCTCTCAATAGAATATCTTTACATCTACTCTTATTTCCAAAGAAGGGTAACGGTGGTTTTGTAAAATTCATTTTATATATATAATAAAAAATGTTTTTTCCTGAAAAGTGACAGATGTTTTATTGTGACTTCTTTGTAAATGTTTTGTCAAGACTTCTTCGTAAAGACTTTGTTGAGATTTCTTCGTAAAGACTTTGTTGAGATTTCTTCGTAAATGACCCAAAAATATATTTTAGGTGAAGAGGTGAGATTTCACCTCTTTTTTCACCTCATTTCTCACCTCTTGAATTTTCATGAATTTCTTCGTAAAGACTTTGTTAAGACTTCTTCATCTAATTTCTCATGAACTTTCTTGTCTATGTTTTGTTGAGATTTCTTCGTAAAGACTTTGTTGAGATTTCTTCGTAAATGACCCTAGTAGTATATTTTTGGTGTAAATTTCATGAAAATTCAAGAGGGTGAAAAATTAGGTGAAAAAACAGGTGAAATCTCACCTCTTCACCTAAACATTATTTTTGGTGTAAAATTCTGAGTAAAATGACAGATGGAACACATACTTTTTCAGTAAGTACATATGGGGTAGAAAAGAGGGTAGAAAACGGGGTAGATATACCCTTCTACCCTAAAATATATTTTTGTCTGATTTACGCTCATTACGATGAAGTTTTGACAAAGTCTTTACGAAGAAATCTTGACAAAGTCTTTACGAAGAAATCTTGACAAAGTCTTTACGATGAAGTTTTGACAAAGTCTTTACGAAGAAATCTTGACAAAGTCTTTACGATGAAGTTTTGACAAAGTCTTTACGATGAAGTTTTGACAAAGTCTTTACGATGAAGTTTTGACAAAGTCTTTACGATGAAATCTTGACAAAGTCTTTACGATGAAATCTTGACAAAGTCTTTACGATGAAATTCATGAAAATTCAAGAGGTGAAAAATGAGGTGAAAAAACAGGTGAAATCTCACCTCTTCACCTAAAATATATTTTTATTGAATTCTGTATAATATTCTGAGTAATATGACAGATGTTTATATAACACTTTCTCCGGTTTATAGGACCTCTCTCATATTCTATCTTGTCATATCAAAACTCATAGTCATGTTTGTCCTCTAAGACTTCATTTATACTAAACATCTTCAGGGCTAGAAGGCACGAAGTGCCTGGAAGCCCCACTTCCTTTTTTTTTTTTTTTTTTTTTTTTTTTTTCCTATTACTATTTTTACTAATAATACATTTTTTGTGAGCAAAATGATTCAACATCACAAAATCGCGAAACCCTCTTCCATCGGTAATTTATATTGCATTGTAGAAATGCAATATGATCAATTCTATCTCATTTAACAAAATAATATCATTCCAAGATCAAGTCGAAATAACTATAAGTTTCCATTTACGAAGAGTCCACATTTGAAAATCGAAAGCCTAGAAACCAACCGAAATTGTGATAATTAAAGTTAAGCCTTGAAATATTGTAAATATTCCCAAAGTAGGCAAATTACAGTTTATCAAGTTAATATTTACCTCACAATGAGTCCAACTGAATCAAGTAGCATGCTAGAATGATCTGCAAGTTCAAATAAAATACTTTTGTTGTCAGAATATATTTTTGTCACTTTTTTAATGTCTGAAGAAGGTGAAAACCCCTCTCCTCAACAAACAAAGACTGAGGAGCCAGCTGCCCAAAAGGAAGAAGCTCCAAAGGGAATTTCCGTCCATATTGGCAACCTTCCATTTGAGTATACTGAAGCCAAGCTCAAAGAAATTTTTGGAAAATATGGCGAAGTTTTAGATTCAAAGATCCCAACAAATCCAGCAGGAAGATCTAGAGGTTACGGATTTGTCTCTTTTGCACTCAAAGAAGATGCCCAAAAGGCTGTTGATGAATTGAACAACAAAGAGATGGAGGGAAGAAAAGTTGAAGTTGCATTTGCAAAAGGCGATAAGAAGTCTCCACGCAGTGATCGTCGCGATCGCAAACCACGCGATGATAGAAGAGATTACGACCGCAGGAGAGCTGATGACGACCGCTACTACCGTAATGACAGACGCGACCGTGACAGATACTCTCGCAGATACGAAGATGACTATTATGATAGACGCAGATACGATGATGATTATGACCGTCGCTCCGATAGACGCGACTACAGACGCGATGACTATGATCGCAGGGACCGCAGATATGATGACTATGACCGCCGCTACGACGAAAGAAGATATGATGATGACCGCAGAAGAAAAGATGATGATTTAAGACGCGACTACGGCCGTGATGAACGTTATTAAATACACTTTCAATTATTGGTACTAATTAGTTCATTTTCTAACACATAATGTTTCAGTTCTTTCATAATCTATGATTCTGGCTCTTTCACTTGCACATCTGTTATAACTGAATATCCACTGAGATTAACATAGTTCACACTACTATTTTTTTTAGAATTATTTGATTATTATATAGAAGAGTTTTTCAAAATTTCTTGATATTTTCGGAAATAAATCTTTACCATGCAGCCATTTAAATTCCAAAAATATTTTTTGTTGGTTACGATTTTTCAAAGAGTAATTTGGATAATTTATAAAAATTCAGGGCCATCGAGATTGTAACTTTATCTCATTATTGCACATTTAAATTATTTGATTTTATTGACAGTTGAAAAGATACTAAACGAAATTATTTTAGAAGATTCTCGCTGAGGCTCAATAAATGAGAAGTATGCTAATCAATGGGATAATAATTTTATGTTCCTGAAATTGGCTACTTGAAAAAAGCATTAGCAATGAAATGTTTTGTAAAGGTTAAAATCAATCAAAAACATAAAAATACGGATTATTAGAAAATTTTACATTCATATTGAAGTTTAATTTCTGTTGAATCTCGTAATTTTCAATATTGGCAAAAGTGATGTCATATAAAATTTTTTGAAATCGAAATTGCCATAAATTCACTCAATTTCATTGTTTACGAATAGAGACCAAAAATAATTTCATTAAACCCATTAAGCATAGTTGAGCAAATATTACTTTAATTAGCTTTCATTTGATGGACATCATTGAATATTTTGAATTGATTGATTGTATTTTGTTGAACTTAAAAAATAATAATATCTCCCTATTTTCATAACTCAATCAGCCACGAAATTATTGATTTCACTTTTTGATGACATAGTTTTCAAAATTTGAGAGGGTAAAAACGATGAAGTTTTCACTTTTAAAATGCTTTCTTCCTGTGCTAAGCGCGGATTAAAGACCATTGTTGGTAATGGTAATCTTATCTGCAGCCTCAATTCAGACCTCATCAAGGATGGCGCTGTCGTTTTCGAGAACGACACAATCATTGAAATTGGTAAGACAGCCGAAATGCGTAAGAAGCACTTTGGCTCCAAGTTCGTCAATGCCAATGACAAGCTCATCATGCCAGGTCTCATCAACGCCCACGGCCACTACTACGGCTTCTTCAGCCGCGGCATGAGCCTCAAGGACCCACCACCATTCACATTCTTAGAGGTCCTCCAGCGCCTTTGGTGGCGTCTCGATCGTGCCCTCCAGCACGAAGACAACTACCTTTCTGCTGCCGCTTATAACATCGCAGCCATTAAGGCAGGTACAACAACAATTGCTGATCACCACGCATCACCAAACTGCATCGAAGGATCCCTTGATGACATCGCTCAGGCCGCTCTCGATGCTGGTATCCGTAACCATATCGCATACGAAGTTACAGATCGTAATGGCATGGATGGCGCATACGCTGGTATCGAAGAAAACCGCCGCTTCATCGAGCGCTGCTACAAGAAGGACAAGAACCCAATGCTCGCTGCTTCATTCGGTCTTCATGCTGCTTTCACATGCAGTGACGAGACATTGAAGAAGTCTGCTGAAGCTCTCGCCTCCGTTAAGGAAGCTGCTGGCAAGGTTGGCTTCCACATCCACGTTGCCGAAGGCAAGTACGATGAAGAGCACTCAATAAAGAACTACGGCAAGACTGTTGTCGACAGACTCGTCGAATTCGGCATTGCTGGCCCAGAGACAATCTACGGCCACTGCGTCTTCGTCAACGACCACGAACTTGATCTCATCAAGATGTGTGGCACAAACCTTGTTACAAACCCAGCCTCCAACATGAACAACGCCGTCGGTCTTCCACGTGCTATCGACATCGTCAAGCGCGGCATCCCATTCGCTCTTGGTACAGATGGTATTACATACGATATGTTCCAGGAAATGAAGTTCCTCTACTTCGGCAACAAGTTCATGAACAAGGACCCACGCGTCTTCGGCTGGGAATCTGGCGATGTCCTCTTCAACGGAAACTCCAAGCTCGTTTCAAAGGCATTCCCGAAGAAGGTCGGCGTTCTCGAACCAGGCGCATTCGCTGATATTATCCTTGTCGACTACGAGATCCCAACAGTCCTCACAACAGGATCACTCCCATGGCAGATGGTCTTCGGCATGACTGGCGCTAATGTCCATACCACAATCGTTGGTGGCAGAACAGTCATGAGAAACCGTGAACTTCTCACAATCGATGAGAAGGAAGTCATGGCTCGTGCACGTGAGCGCACTCCAGGTGTCTGGGAGAGATTCTAAACATTAATCTCGCCAAAAAAAAGCAATAACAGAACTTGAATAAAATGAAATCAATACGTTTACATAATTAATCAAGTATTTGTATTCCATTATGCATAGAAAAGCTTATAACTATAATCTACAGCTATCGAAAAAGAGAAATCGCAATAATTTGATTCAGATCCATTATTTTTCAAATTGATATTTTGGTATTTTAGTTTAAATATTTATAATGTTTATAGAACTAACGTGAGATTTCTAATATCTCAACTATTTGAAAAAAATTGAATTGAAATTTATGATTTATATGATATTACATATTGATTTAAATCATCTATAACATAATGAAGATAATTGTAAATATATTTTTAATCAAAAATCACAATGCTTAATATCTCAATCAGCTTCAATAACCGAATTTTCAAATCTGTCAAAGAAGCTATGGAGGAATTAGGCTGTCAGTTCAGAGAACAAAATCAACACTCCGTTCTAGTATGGACTGACTCCATTCGAGATGCAGATTATTTCTCAAACTTAAATCCATGGCAAGTAGTAAATAGAATACCATGCGCGCACGTATTATGTAGAAAGGCATCACTTACAAGATGTATTCAGCAAATTGCTGAATATTTCCCACAATTATATAATTTTTATCCAAAATCTTACATTCTCCCATTCAAAAATTCTGCATTTTTGCGTGCTCTAAAACGTACAAAATGCGCCTGGATCATTAAACCTGATTCTGGTTCACTTGGACAAGGCATTACAATTTTAAATCCAGGAAGTGAATATCCTCCTGATGAATCATTATCCGTAGCACAAGAATACGTCGATTCCTTCCTCCTAAATAATACAAAATTCGATTTAAGAATTTATGCTTTAGTTACAAGTGTAGATCCACTTACAATTTATATATATCGCGATGGATTAGCAAGATTTTGCTCAGAAGCTACTGGCCATCACTCTGTTTTCTCACAAATTACAAATGTTACCTTAAATAAACAAAATCCAGAACTTGACAAGTTTGAAGAGATTTCTAGACTCATTTCCGATACGTTCCCGAGATTAGAGAAAGAATGTAACGCAGACATAAAGAAATTATGGAGTGAAATTGATAATATTATTGTTTTGTCAATAATGTCTGCCCATAGGTATCTGAAAACAGCAGTTCAAAGAGATTGTGCTCCATCAATTATTTCCAGGTGTTTCCAAATTTTCGGTTTTGATATTTTGTTAGATCGAGAATTACATCCTCATGTTATCGAAGTAAACTACAGACCAAACCTGGAATACCATCGCGGTCCAGAAAGAAGGATGAAAGTCACAATGATTAGAGATGCCATCGCAATTGCGGCTCCTCTTGAATCTCTACAAGCCGCTGTAGAAGTAAGACCATATGGATGGGATGCAGCATCTTGGAAGGCGTTTTTGTTAAATAATCCTACAATTATTAACCAAATTGAACAATCTCGTAAGAGAGCGATTGAACTTTCAAAGTATGAGCTTATTTATCCATCAACTGGTGATAAACAAAAGGTTTACCAGAGTGTTTTGAACAAAATTGACCAGCTTAAGGCAGATGTTCTTCCAGGAACATTGATTTCAACAGAAAAGGATGATTAGAGATCAGGATATTTATTTTGTAGTTGTTTTTATATTAAATGTTTATTTGTTAACTTATTCAAAAATATTTCGCAATTAAGTAACTGTTGATTGCATTGACAACTATTGCATGAATATAAAAACTTGTATTTCATACATGTTCCTGCAAAAAATGACATCATACATCTAGATATAGAAATTGAAGAAAAGATCATCTCAAATAGGGTGAATATCAATATAAAAGGGAAATAAAATAGTTCTCTATCAAACATGGCAAAAGAAGATCATGGAAAAACTGATCTCTCCTTTGCATGATATAGAGATATGATTGACTAAGCACAAGTATTTGAAAGTTAAGTGTATGTTGTTTTTTACAACTTAAACTCGACAAATAGAATTATTCAATTATGAAAATTTCAAAAAGGAAATTAACTACCAAGAATCGGAATACAGGCATTAGCTGATCCATTAAATTGTAATAATTGATATAAGTGTATTTTCTTTGTTATTTTCAAAATATTTTGATATTATTTGAGCTAAATTTGATCTTTGACTCTTATGATATATTTGCAATCATTTTGCTAGCGAATTTATATAAGCAGATGTTAATTTTGACCACCATATATTTACTTAGAAATTGAACTACTTTGTTTGCAAATTCAAGTAGCATAAAATTCATGGAGCAAATTCCATCATTTTATTCATTTAATATCAAGCCAAATGAAAAATACAACGTTGTTGCACCAGTAGATACAAGCTTTTCAGCTTCCACAATTTCTATTCTTCCAGATGAAAATACTCCAGAAAATGGCAGAATTGTTCTCTGGGTCGATGCTCCAGTAGCTAGCAAAGAGCAAATTCAATCTGTAGCTGTTGCTTCTCTTCGTGTTGGAACAGCTGAAGTCGTTAAAGTCGATTTTGTTGTTGATTGCCTCACTCCAATTACTTTTTACACAAAGGGCGACAATATCACAGTTACAGTATCAGGCTATGCAACTGGCTTTGATCCATTGCAAGTCACTAAAGTAGAAGAGAAGAAAGAATAAATTTAAAATTATTCATTTGTATTTTGCTAAACTGATCAATAATCCATTATTTACCTATTACTTTTATTAAACAAAAACCTTTTAAATAGAAATACTAATAAAAACAAACAAATACAAAATTATTTTCGCCTTGGCAAACTTTGCATTGAAACCGTGCTAGAATTTTCTCCTTTTAAGAAACTTCTCATGTCTGAAGCAATGCTTGCACTTTCAATGTTTGCTCCCATTGGCTTTGGAGCAATAGATCTAAATTCTTGTTCGAATTCTTGATCAATATCATCACTTCTGCTTTCTTCCAGCTTTGAATTAAAAGATATTATGCTTCCACCATGTTTCTCTTTATTTTGATGTTTCCTATCTCTTTTTCTTTTATCATTTTTAAGTTTATTTTTAGGAACATCACTTTGTGACTCTTCATCTGTATCTGACAGAGTAGTTGGCTTCCATCTTTTAGCAGCAGGAAGATCAGGAAGTTCAAGAGTTTCTGGCATCGTATCTGAAAATGGATCAATTGTTTTGTCATCACCTTCTTCAGCAACAATTTTATTTTCTTGTTTATGAATAGTTGAAGCCATTCCTCTTCTTCTTGATTCACCTTCGTTTTCTTTCTTCTTTGTATTACCTTTCTTTGCGAAACTACTAAACTCTTTTGCATTGACATACGATCCATAACTTGCTCCATAAGTTGGTAAATTCTGTGGGAAAACGAGTGGTTTAACAGTAACACCTTCTTTCTTTTTCTTCACAAATTCACTTGGATCTGTTGAGTGAACAAAACAATTTGATAATATGATGCATAAGTTCCAAGCAGGAAGAGTTGCAATTCTTGTTTTGTCATCCATTTGTCTTACAAACTCTGCTCTAATTAAATCATTGAAATCTCTATCCATGAAATGCTTTAAAAGAATATGGCAGGAATAACTTATTTTCTTGTTATCAGGGATATCAAATTCAAATGGTTCAATGAAGTCAGATATTCTCCAAAGAAATTCATTGAATTTCGGAAAGAAATGTTGTTCAAGTCTTTGGTTGTATGAATTAAACTTTTCTGTTGGTCCAGAATAAATACAAAAATCAAAAGGAACAGAGAGCAAGTATCCAACAATTGAAAACAATTGTGGATGAGCCAATGACAAACCTTTAATGAATTTGACATTTTCTGAAAAGAAACTTCCCAATATTCCTTTACAAAAGAATTTGCTGATAGCAAGCAATGTCAAAGCTTGAGAATTATACCTAACATTAACATATTGACGAAGAATATTCAATACATAAGTCCATTCTTTTGGAACATATGCATATCCTTGAACAATATACTTCAAAACATTAAAAAGCAAGTTACACATTGTTGATTCATCGACTAAAGATATATCTGCTGCATCAATATCATCATGGTAATCAATAAGTGATATAATTTTGTTGAAAAATTCATCATTGTATTTTGAAAAATAAACTTTGCCAATTGCTCTTGCAAATAAAGTAAAATGATTTGGAATACTGAAACTATCAATATTAAATTCAAAATCATCATTGAATGTATGTGCAAAAACACCTTCTGCTAAGAAAATCATTTTCTTTGCATGTGCATAAATATAAACTAAAGATTCCCATATTTTAGGCTCAAGTTTATTGGAATTTAAGAAGGACCAAAGGAGAACAGAGTCATTTGCCGTAAACATGTTGTACATGGCTCGATACATTACATCAGGATATGCATCAGCAGATTCAAACATGAAAAATGGAAACGGAATTTTTTGTCTAGAGTAAAGAGTTTCCCAGAAAACTGCTTGTTCACCAGAATGCGTTTGAAATACACAAGCCGTTTTTTGATCAATGTTCACGATCTCAACTATCTTTTCTTTCGTTCGTACGTAAGCTTTTAAGATTGTTTCTGACATTTTTTCTTCGCATTTATCATCTTTAATTTCATACAATTTGAATTGTCGATCTTTATTGATGATTGCCCAATAGTTTGGATTTTCTTTATATGTCGCTCTGCAAACTGATAGCAAATATTGATTTGTATAGCATGATTTTGATGTCCAAACTTTTTTGTAAAATCCGTATTTAATAAAGTGAAAAAACTTAGATTGATCTGTGAGTGAATGCAAAATTCTGACTAAACAGTAGATTATTGAATTCATAAATAATGAACCTTGAGGAATTAGCGGTGGCCAATTAGCAGCAACTTGATACGCTTGCTTATTTGGTACTAACTCGCAAAAATAGCAGCCAACATCTGCAACTAGGTCAGGTACGTCTGTAAATATTCTATCTTGTTCAACTTCTTCAAATAATTGGCAAAAATCATCAAGAAAAGTTGCAATAGATTGATCTTTAAGTAGAGGAAGCTCTGCTATTGTATAATCCTCGAAATTCACCCAACAATTTGGATCATATCTTGTGTAATCTATCATCTTTTTATCTTGAATTGATTGATAAAACTTTGATGGTGTTGCGAATCCTTCCTGATCGTCTATTTCAACATCAGCATTCTCGAAATCGCCCTCCATATTGAGGGGGAGTATTTTATCGTTTCAACGGTGTACGTTTAAAAAAAGTCCTGATCAAAGAAGAAGTCTAGTATATATTCTAAAATAGTCGAATTCGTTGATAATAGAATAAAGGTTTCTAATGTTTTGATATTTATTCATGATTTTAAAAAGAAAGATTCAATTGAAATTTGATTTCAAATTGATCAGAATATCAATATATCAACTATTTTTTGACGCAATCCCGATAAAGGGAAGGTGCGCTAATTTAAGCGTTTTAGAGTAGTAGGATAGGATGGGTTTTGTGACTTTTTTTGTTACATCTATATATAGACGATGCATTAAAATATATTTATTTATAAATCATTAAAAAATTAAAGTTATTTTTAAAATAATTTTTTTTTATTCTGACATAAATGACCCAACAAGTAAAACCAGATAAAATAGATTATCGAATTTTAGAGGATGGTGTTCCTGTTTATATTCAAAGATTTAAAGGGAAGCAATATTATAGAATTGTTAATCCTGAATACATAAAACATTTATTTAAAAAGGAAGACTGTGAATTATTAAACGTTAATGAATATGAAACCAATAAATCAAAATTGAAATATAAATATATTGGAAGTGATGAAAGATGCAAAGATAAAGATAAAGTTTATACAGTTTCATATAATGAATGGAAAACCAATAAGATAAGAAAACATTTAGGAGATTATGGGAAATGTTCTGAATTCTTTAAATCTAGTATATACGAGAGAGTAAAAGAAATTAGATATAATTATTTTCATGAATAAAAAATTCACTACCATAATGAAATAAAAAATAAAAAAATTTTCAAAATTGTAAGACATTTACACTCAGCCCATACATAATGAAATAAAAAAAAAATAAACTTTAAAAATTCATGTCTTACATTTATGAAAATTTATTTTTATTTTGTATGAAACCGATTTTAAAAATTTATGAATAATTTATAAAAAGTTTTTATTCCTACAATTCCTATATTACCATTAATAAAAAGAATATATTTTTGACGAAGTGAAGATTCGCACTTCGTCACAAAACTCCGAAAAAATAAAGTTAGATTTTTTTATTTAATATAAAATGTATGGAAAAAGAATAATATCTGATTTTGAACATTATTTGATTGATTTACTAATTGATCCACAAAGCTGTTGTAAAATTAATTTTGAATTTAAAATTAAAGGAACCGTAAATTTTGTATTTATTTATCACTTAAAAGAATATGACCGATATCATAATTTGATATATGAAACTAATATAATATTTGAAGATAACAAACTTACAAGCTTCGAACATGAAAATGATATAATATTCGAAGATGAAAAAAAGAAAGAGATTGAAAAGCAATTCAATGAATGCCTTTTAAATACATATGCGCACATTATAAGACATAAAATAAATTATATTTTTTAAATAAAAAAATAATTTTTATCTGATAGAAATAATACCTACAAATGATGGTATATAAAAAATTGACTTCTTACGTAAAATTAAAACTAAGTTAAATTTATTTTTTTTATTTTTTATTTTATAGGGTGTCCAAAGGTGCGTTTAGCACAGCGCTCTATATGAGACTATTAAAGGAGATATATGCTGATTATAAATATATAATAAAAAATATGAATATATGTATATGATGAGTATGTTGTATTTTGGCGCCATGCCGGGATATAAAATGAATTTTGAGACAAGAGGCGGTTTCGCGGGAAATTTTGGCGGGATTTTTTTCATTTTTTAATGAATCATAAAGAAAACATCCTCGCTCTTGCAAAAAAATGCAAAGACTGTAAAAAATCTACGAGACATTGGTAAAATGCTTCAGTATGGATGCTCCTAGCTATTCCACTGTAACGTATCATGTTAGGATGTATCACTTCATGAACAAAAAGGCGCCCATCATAAAAATTGACAAAAAATCGCCGGATCAAAGAAAAATCAAAGCAATTCTTCAAGCGCTAGATGAAGACCCAAGAGCATCACTCAGAAGGATAGAGGAGATGACAAAGATACCACGTACAACAGTCAGTTATTATCTGCACAATTATTTGAACTACAAACTAGCGTATACACGTTGGGTTCCGCACAACCTTAATTCAGTTCAAAAAAATCTAGAGTCCAATCTTCGAAAGAGCTCCTCTCTATATTGCGTGCGTATCAATCCAAGAAGTTTCGCTTTTTAGTAACAGGGGATGAGTCTTGGTTTCAATATGCAACAGAAGCCAAAATCATGTGGATCCCGAAGGATGAAGATCCGCAAACATTCCCGAAGAAAAAAATTGACACACCAATGATGATGTTGTCGGTTTTTTGGGGCGTGAATGGCATCATCGCAATTGATATTCTTCATAAACCTAATACGATGAATGCTCAGTATCTAATTGACAATGTTCTTACTCAAATTATCAATTCTGATGAGTTTGAGAAATCCAAACAACAAAAACAAAAGTTTGCAATTCATTTTGATAATTCAAGAGTTCACAAAAGTCATAAGGTAATGAATTACTTGGTGGAAAACAATGTCAAAGTTGTTCCAAACCCAATTTATTCACCTGATATTGCACCCTCTGACTTTTATTTATTCGGCACGCTAAAAAAGAGAGCTGAAGGACGCGAATTCGCGAGTCCAGATGATCTTGAAAATTTTGTAAGAGAGCAATTTGAGCAATTTTCTCATGATGATTTAAAGCGTGTCTTTCAAGCCTGGATCGATCGCTGCGAACGCGTGATTGAATCCAATGGTGATTATATTTAAATAAACTTTATATATATGTAACTTGTTTATTTCTATTCGCAGTATTCAGGTTTGTGCTAAACACACCTTTGGACACCCTATATAATAAATGAGTATAACAACTAATTCATTGAAATCTTTAAAGTTCACTAATTCAGAATTAGAAAATATTTTAGAAAATTTTGGAGACGGTTCTTATCCAACATATATGCAGAATGTGAAAGAGTTTTCCAGATTGTTGAATGAATTTAAATATAACGGACCAATTACTAAAAAGGCTATAATGAGATATTTATATCCCAAAAAAGTTGAAAAACAGGAGAATATTCCTCTTTATGGTCCAGAGGACCTGGGCTCAGAGAGCCTTGAAACACCTCCTGAATATTTTGAAGAAAAAATTAAACAAGATGAATATTATAACGATGAGATTGAGAAATTGGAACAATTAAGAAATGAAATAGATGAAAAAATTAAGGAATTGAGAAATGCTGAGAATGAAGTAGAGGGTTTAATGAATATCCCAGCTTCAGAATCAGAAGTTCACAAAAAATATAAAAATTACTTTTTGGAATCTACTAAAAATTTATTAGATGGTGATATTGACGAAACACTTTCAGAAGAAGGCACAAAATTTATTCATAAACATAAGCTTCAGTTTATTGACGATGGAGATTATCCATGTATATTACTTTCACCTCCTCTTGATTCTGAAAAATTCAAAAAAGCACTGAAAAATGTAACATATGCAACAAATACGATTAAGAAAGAAGACCATGATATTTACACAAATTATTATTTAAATAAATGTACAGGTGTTGATAAAGTTTTTGATTTGTTAGATAAAATATCAAAAGAAACAATTGGTACATATAAAATTTTATGCGATTGTGGTTTCATTATTGAAGATACCAATAATGTTTCATATGAAAGAACAGCACCGAAGGAAGACGAAGTTGAAAGGTCTATACCATTCGTTATTAAGAATATAAAAGATATGAAAACGTATAAGCATTATATTTATTCATTTATTTCAGAAAAAATGGAAGCAACCCATAAAACATCATCTCATCATTTTATAGCTATTCATACATTCCTTTTCAAAGTTGTGAAATTAAATAAGACAGGAATTAGATTTAATGTATCAGGGTACGCATTCTTGAGTAAATTAAAATGTATTCGTCACGTCGCAGATGATAAAAATTTATGTGTTCTTAATTCATTTTATGGACTTTAGCCCTGGACTCTCTGAGTCTCGGACTTTAAAAAAAATAAACTTTATTTTTATTTATTTTTTAATTTTTATTCTTACATAAATGAACAAAAATGGAACAGCTAAAATGAATGATAATCAAATAAGAGCCGAAGGTAGAAGGTTATTTAAACGCTTCTATAACATTCCTGATGGTGTTAATCCTAAAACTCGTAGAAGTTATTTAAATGAAGCCATAGATGCATATGAAGGATTTGACATTTCATCAGAAAGTGAGAGGTTAGCAAGAATGTTAAACGTTAATATTGATTTTTATTATTGTGACCCTCAACCAGAAGACGTAGACATTAACAAGGTAGACTTTCCATTAGTGGAATCAATAATGATAGATCCAGAATTTGAAACAGTAAATATTTTATTAACACAGAGTCCATGTGGAAAACTTCACGCTGACAGAATTACAGACGTTGAAGCACTCACAGGATATAAAGTTTGCCCCTTTTGCAAAGAAGAAGTATATTCTATCCGTGATGATCCAGAAAGGAAAAACCAAAGAAGATTTTTAAAACATTGTGAGAAATGTAAAGAAAATAATGGAAGATTAATTCAAGACGTTCAATTGCAAAACACACAACAACCATATGCACCACATATCACGAAACAGAAGATATATCAATGGCTATTAGCACATAATTTGCAGGAATATTATAAACCAACAAGATATTATATTACTTTTGACTTCGAAACATTAGAGACTAAAGAAGAACTTCAACTTTCTGAATGTGCAACTTTGAACGCTTACTTAAAACCATTTATGGTATCATCAACTGTCAAAATAAAGCCGCAAAGCGGCGAGGTCGTAGACCGTGATAAAACATTTACGAGGAATTTTTGCTTAACATCAAGTGATTCGTTCATCTCTGATTGGATTGAATTTTTATTTTCAACCTGTTCATTAGTTGCTAAATCAAATATTGAACAATATGAAGAATTAATGAATACATTAAATGAGAAACAAAAGGAAGCAATGAAAGAGCTTTTAGATGAAGAATTTAATAAAGTGAATATCATTGGTTTTAATTCAGGAAAGTTTGATTTAAATTTAATTCTTCGTGATTTAAATACTGCAAAATGGAAGATAAAATCAATGCTGGGTTCTTCTTCTCAATTTAAGCAAGTCATAGTAAAGAAAACAAACTGTCCATATGAATTAAGATTTATTGACATCAGAAATTATATAGCGGGTGGAACATTAGACCAATTCACTCAAGATTTCGGAAACAATAAATCACGTGTTAAATCCTTTTTCCCTTATCAATTCATCACATGGGAGAATTACGAAGATGAATTATATAAAAAGGAACCATTCACTCAAGATTCATTTTATTCAGCATTAACACAAGAAACAATATCCGATTCAGATTATCAAATATATCTCAATGATGCTAAAAATTTTGAGAATAGATTAGAATATTTTATTCATTATTGCAATAAAGACGTTGAAATTATGATTGACCCAATTGATAAAATTATCGAAGAAACATTTGTTTATAAAATTGACATGCTTCATAATCTTTCTTTATCATCGAATGCATCAATGATTCGTTACGCGTTAGCATATAAGAACTTCAATCCTAACGAAACATATCCAGAAGAAGAAAATGTGGAATCAAGTTTTGAATTAACAAAAAAGTATTGGAAATATAAAATTGAATCATATAAGAAACAAGATGAAAAGCAGAAAGGGATACTAAAAACAATGTTTCAATGGATGACTATCAATACTATCACGATTTAATCCTTTCATCTAAATGCAAAATGTGTGGTAAAGCGTTTACATATGCAAATAAACCAACATTGGATAGAATCGATAATGAAAAACCACATACCAAAGAAAATTGTCAGTTAATGTGTTGTTATTGCAATGTCGTAAAATCAAATAAAGATGAAGATGTTCAACGTTTAAGAATCAATTTAAGAAATTATGCATTAAAAAATAATTTACCAATGACTTTAGATTCAGTTGAAGCTTATCACATTCTCCGTAATGGAATTACTGGTGGTCTATCAAATGTTCAACATCGTGTTAATCTTAAAGGAATCACGCACATTAATAAACTTTCATATAATCCAGAAACTAAAACTGTATCAAATGAGGACACCACCAACATTATGACTCATTTCGTTGGAGTTGACTTTAATTCATTATATCCTTCATCATTTTCATCTAATCCTCATGATTTCATTCAATATACTGACCATAAAATGTATATGCCGGGAAGATTGAATGGTGTTATCATTTGTGATACAGCAACAAAGAAAGCAAAAGCACTGGGAATAATTAAGAAGAAAAATACTTTATTCGTGGCTGAAGTAAAGGGTCACATTGATGAAAAATACATTAATGATTACATAAACTTTTTACCGATAATAAGAAACTTAGATATTATCACAGATGAAAAAACAATTGGCAGTTTTATGTATAATTACATGAAATCAAACAATCTACCAGTTGACCAGAAACAGAGAAAATTAACTCAGTTAGCATCAACACACAACCAATATCAACCATTTTCTTCTTATTATCTTTGGTATCTAATAGACAGATTTCATTTTATCATTGATGACATTCAATCAATTTTAACATTTACTAAAAACACTTGTTTTAATGAATTTGCGAAAGAATTTATGAACGAAAGACAAAAGGCTGAATTAGAAGGAAATAAAGGAAAAAGTTTATTTTGCAAGATTTCGCTTAATGGATCATATGGTTACGATGCAATGAATACACAAAATTACGCAAAGACTAAAATAATGAATGCACAGAAGTCACGCGTTGCATGTATGTCAAATAAGTTTAAAAACATAAGAGAAATAGGTGAAGATACATATCAAGTGATGCTTAAAGATAGATTTTATAGATGTGATACATGTTTACAAGAGGCATTCTTTACTTTAGATAATGCTAAATACTGGTATTTGGTTTTCATTTATGATTTTATGTATAAATGCATGAATCTTAATCGTTTTCATTTCATTGAAGCTGATACTGATTCATCTTATTGGGCAATCGCTGGCGACCCAAATCTTCCTAACACTCAAGCATTTCAAGCAATTGTTACTGATAAACAATTTTATGATAAAAACATTTTCAAATTCGCACCATTTGATTTCTTCTGTTTTGTTGAGAAATTTAAACCTAAATTAAAGAATAAAGCTGAAGAAAAAGCACATGAGAAGAAGTTATTGGGTTTAGCAATTGAGAAACAAGGTGATAACATGGTTGCTTTATGTCCTAAGTGTTATACATCATTCAATGGTTCAATTGATGGAAGTGATTTTAAAAAGATTGCACAAAAAATGAAAGGTGTTAGTTTACGACAAAATAAACAATTAACACCTAAAAATTATTTGGATATAATAAATGATAAATTGATATTTGATGGTCAGAATATTAATTTACAACTTAAAAATGGGTCAATGACTCGCTTAACAATTGGTAAGACTGCATTAACAGGAGCACACACTAAGGCTGTATGTTGTGAAAATGGATGTTGTATGCCATTTATTTAATAAAATACCACAGAAGAGACAAAAGGAACCGTTAATGATGGTTTTGATTCTTGATCAAAGAGGTGGGCACCCTTAAAACATTGATTTTATTTTTATATAAATGGATAACACAGATTTAAAAAATTTAATTGTGATTTAGTACTTAATCAAAAATTTTCTTATTATTATGATTAAAAGCATATCTCCAAAAATATAATAATAATATAACGGGTGATGATATGGAATATTATTATCCATATTATAAAAATGAAATTTTGAAATATCATAATAAAATAATTTCTGAAATTAAAGACAAAATTAAAAATAATGAATATTCAAAGGGAAAAACTAAATCACAGCTTAAACAGTTGAAAGATTTCAAAAATAAAGTATTAACAGAAGAAGATATTGATGAATTATATAAATTATATAATCCTGAGCCACAAAAACCAAAGGAACAAAACACCCAGGTCCTTCAGACCATAAATGATGCACAAGCTTTAATTTATGATTCATTAGTTAAACCATATTCAGCCCGACTTTTAAATGAAGATCAACTTTTGGAATTCATCCTTCAACATAAACTCGAAGCGGGAAAGTATATCAAACCTTTATATACAGCATATTTAAAACAAATGAATAGAATACATCCAGAATTAATGAAGGAAGGAATGAAATCCAAAATCAAAGCAGATAAAATTAAACCACTTGCAACACCAAAACCTCCAACGACAGTACCGCCTCCTCCTTCAGTTAATCCTTCATCATTCACTTTATTATATCCATTTCAAACATTAAAGAAGCAAAAAGATTTTAAAAAGGATTTCAAGATATTAAATAAACCAATTGACCCGAAAATTCAACCGTTAAAGGAAAAATTTAGTCGCCCTTCATTTGCTCCATATCCATATTCATACGAAATCGATCATCTGGAATATTCAAAAGGAAACGTTACTTATTTATTTGCCATTAACATTAACACTAGATATTTATATTGCATTCCGGTGAAAGGGAAAACAGAACAGGAAACAAGAAGAGCTATACAATACTTACTAGATCATGAAAGAGTAGATAATATCAGGGGTGATGGTGATAAAGGATTTCAGGCAGCTATGCTCATTATTTCCCACAAATTAATTTTTTCTTTTCATCCTCTCCATATACGTTTCATAATAAAATAGTTGATGCGGTAATGAGAACTCTTAGAGATGCGTTAGGGGTTAACGGTCAGATATACTGGGATGGAAATCATGACTCCATCATACAACAGTTAGTATATTATTATAATAATACATGGCATAGAACTATAAACATGAAACCGGTGGAAATGAAAAATGATATTTCAAAAGAATGGGAATATATTAGAAAGCAAATGGAAAGGTTGAATGATGTTAAACGTGAACAAATTAATTCGGGGCTCATGAATTTTAAACAAGGAAATAAAGTTTTAATTCATCTCGATTATGGAAAAACTGATAAATCAATGACAAAAAGAAGACGAAGATTTGACACAATAGCTGAATTTGTTAGATATATTAACGGCAATGCATTAGTTGAAGTTGACAATAAATTAATAGAAATTCCGATTTATTTTATTACTCCATTATATTTAAATAATATTTAATTTTTTTATTTCGTAAGAAATGAGTGACAACAAAGCAGTCAAGAGTCCAGACGATGAATATAAAAAGAAACTAAACAGAATTAAATCAAAAATATGCTATTACAAAAAGAAGCCGCAATGCGGTGGGGTTGAAAACAATAAAACTAATGGAACTGAAAACGATAAAGAGAGGAAAGAAATAATCGAAAAATTAGAAACTTACCGTTCAATCCTTAAACTGAGTGAAGCAAAAATAAAAGAATTTAATAGAATAAATAAATTGATTGGAAGAGATGAATTTAATAAAGATGAATTTTTAAACTCTATCCAAATTTAATTTTTATTCCTCTTCGACAACATCTCTCTTTCCATCATTACTGCATAACCACATTTTCTCAATTTTAGTGGTTTGTTATTTTTAGCAAGTTCTCGCATCATTTTTATCGTTTCCTCCCTTGTTATGATTCGTGGTAAATTTTGAGCTTGTGGGGTATCCATTTATGATAAAAATAAAAATTTAAATTATGCCGTTCTAAAGTTTGTGACAACATGACATTTTGACAACAGTCCCGGAAATGATTTGTCATGACTTCATCGTAATGAGTGTAAATGACCCAAAAATAATGTTTTCATTAATGGTTTCAGGTTATTCAATAATTAATTATTTTTGAAGAACTGAAGGTGTCACTACGTCACCATGTGTCACTCGGTTAATTAACTTCTCTGAAAAAATGAGACAACATGACATTTTGACAACACAGCTGGATTAATGAGGAAGGCACTTATGAAGCATTTTTGAAGAACTGAAGGTGTCACTACGTCACCATGTGTCACTCGGTTATTTAACTTCTCTGAAAAAATGAGACAACATGACATTTTGACAACACAGGAGGATTAATGCAAAAATAAATTCCAATCATACTTTATAAAGCATCATTTACAGGTATTTCATCGTCAGTAAATGAATCCTCATTATCGTTTGGTTCAACCTGTTTATATAATCCTTTCATTTCTTCTTTCAAAACATAACACCATGTTTGTTTACCATCTATTCTTACCTGTTTCTTATCACATTTATCCTTAATGCTCATTTGGAAATTCTTGTCTTTCATGTCTGATGGTTTGCAGAATAGAGCATTTTTACACGTCATACCTGCACACAATTCATCATAATGTGTATTTATCCATACATCTAAAGGATTTGTTGATAATTCAATTAAATCTTGTTTGGCTTCAGTCATCGGTATGATTCGTACATTAAATGATGAAAGGTCATATTGCATAAAATATGTTAAAAGGTTATCATAAAATTCCTTAGTGCATGAATCCATTAAATTCTTGAAGTAATCAAATTGACCCTTGAATTTACCATTAACCCTTAAAACTACGTATCTTCTGTCTCCAACTTCAATTTTGACAGGGTAGACGTTGTTAGTTACGAAAATGAAATTGGCAACATTCTGAGCTGTTCTTCTGGGTTGATTCTTTTCATTAATTCTAATCTCATTATCCGTAATAATTGATTTCAAAGCGTTGAAGTTTGCAAGTCTGTCTTCACCTACATTCTTGAGTTCATTAAGTACAAGAAACATTTTATTTTCAACTACTGAGTTGAAATTACCCGTTAGCTCACTTATTTCAGTAATGTTTTTACATGAATAACCGGCGAGGAGTTCAGAAATAATGTCTGTGAATCTGTTTTTACCTGTTCCCTGAAGTCCTTTCAAAATAATTGCTGTTTCATTCTTGATTCCAGGATGTTGAATCATTGATGCAATCCAGCCGAGAAGGTATTTATACACTTCATCGTTATTATCACAAATGGCTTCTTTAATGAAATTCATAAACATCTCAATTTTTGAGTAATCAAGCTTTTCAAGAATGTTGTATTTATAACCCTGAAACGTTGAGAAAACATCTGGAGAATCAGATTTAAAGCAAACACCCTTAACGGTTAATGAGGATAATTGATTTAGTAGTACGTCCCATGCTGTTATTGTTTTACCTTCTTCTTTAAATAATTTAATCATTTTGAGTGACTCTTTCATGTTTGATTGAAGAACGAATGATATTTGATTCATTTTGTCGTGGATATTATAGTCCTTTTGAATGAAATATTTGTTTCCACAATCTACAAAACGGATTACACGTGATAAATCCTCAATTACTTCAGAACTGTTTTTATACTGATGATTTTCAGCCCTGCGTCTAATATCTGTTATCAAAAACGAGTCATCAAGTTTGATATCAAATGTTATTTTTGGCTTACGTAATAAAGGTAAAACATATTCATCATAATATTCCTTTTGATAAAGTTTTAGAATCTTCACCAAAACAAATGGAGAAGTCATTAAATGTGCATATCTACTACGTGCTTTTTCAAAATTACTTTTTGCATTTTCAGTTAAATTGCAGAAATTATAAACGTTATCGTATGCTTCATTAATTAAATGATTAGGTAACGAATTAATTGCTTGCAACAGTGTGAATAATGTAACTTCTTTTTCTAAATTCATGTTTCCACCATCATTATGTACTTCAAAATCACAGATGCCATCAACTATGCTCTGGGCAAGTTTATCGTCAATGTTTACATCTTTGTTTTCATTCATTATACTCTTTATTTCTTCGCTCTTCTGTTCAACTCTTACCTTAATATTCAAATCATTTAATATATCGTTTACTGTTCTGGTTAATGTTGAATCATAACTTCCACGAATGAATGAGTATGTATTGATTGGTTCTGATGCATTCTTGCGAACTCTTGAATCAGCCATAACTACTAATGAACGCTTTGAATCATCAATAGAAGTCATTATGTCAATATCATAATCATTGCAGGAATAACATTTAATCATTCTGTTCGAAACTGCATAGAAGAAATTAGTGTTGCAATAAATGTGAAGACCTCCTGATGCGGTTTTAACGATAACATCTTTATCCGAAAGTTTTGATAAAATGTCTTTTCCAACTGTTTCTTTAAGTTCATCATTGTACGATTTATTGATATCAACATCTATAATCGTTAAATTTGAAATTTTATTTACTAATAAAGCCATATCAGTTTTCCTTCCTCTTCCTCCATCATGTTTGAGGTAGTTATGTAAATCAATCTTGTTTTCACCAATTCTTTCGTTGAGGGTTTTAGTTTCTGCCACAACTAATTCCTCAGCTAATGAATCAATAACTTGTTCATCAGAAACGATATAGTTGTTGTTGTTGTTTGTTGCTGTCATTTATATAGGAATAAAAAAATAAAAATAATTTTAAAACTAACTTTATTTTTGGGCTGCATCAAATTTTCGTAAATGTTGTCAAAATGTCATGTTGTCTCATTTTTTCAGAGAAGTTAAATAACCGAGTGACACATGGTGACATAGTGACACCTTCAGTTCTTCAAAAATAATTAATTATTGAATGACCTGTGTTGTTGTCTAAATGTCATGAGTTAAATAACCGAGTGACATAGTGACACCTTCAGTTATTCAAAAATAATTCATAACTACCTTCCTCCTGTGTTGTTGTCTAAATGTCATGAGTTAAATAACCGAGTGACATAGTGACACCTTCAGTTATTCAAAAATAATTCATAACTACCTTCCTCCTGTGTTGTTGTCTAAATGTCATGTTGTCTCATTTTTTCAGAGAAGTTAAATAACCGAGTGACACATGGTGACATAGTGACACCTTCAGTTCTTCAAAAATAATTAATTATTGAATGACCTGAAAACATTAACATAAACATTAACGTAAACATTAACGTAAACATTAACGTAAACATTTATTTCTGTAGTTCATCCATTACTTCATTACCTAATTAATTACAGACATAAAATATATTTAGTTCATTCAATAAACACGGTACCATGCGAATATAGTCACAAATGGTGGCATGTAATCTTTACCCAAGCCTATTGGATTTGTTGTGAAAGTGTGTGAATGATTTCCTCCTGGTTCAGTTGGTCGAAAAGTCTTTTTTGCCGAATGGTTATAATCTGGAGATAAAACGTCATTGCCAGCATAATATTCTGAGTTGTATAATGGATGGTCTCTTAATGAGTGACTATGGTCACCAGAAAAGTTTGTAGTTCCTGTATAAGTGTGCGGTGGAAGGTTTGCTTCAGTAATTTTCTTCGAACCTCCTGTTTGCTTTGAATATCTAGCACAATAGAGGAATTTATCTACAATCTGTTCCCACATACCGAAACCTAAAACTTCTGAAGGATTTGTTGAGTTCATTGACGTATAAATAGAACCAATGGGGTAAATCATCTCAAGAATTGTATTTAATCCATTATGAATATTGAATTTATTATATAATATTGAATTTGGGTGAGTATTTAAAACTGGTCTTGTTATCAATATTAACGTATTATTTTTGAAAATTGCTTTTCTAACATCTTGAAATTTTGTGATTTCAGACCAGTTTCTTCCATCACTACTGATATTTACTAAATCACCACATCCTAAAGCAATGAAATACCCATCAATATAAAATAAATTTGTAAATCTATAATTTGAGTAAGTTTTGGAGTGAATGAATAAACCAATTCCCAATTTGATAAATCCTGTGATAAATAAATATGTCTGTTATAACTTACAGGATATGAATAGACCATTTCACCTGAAACGAGAACATAAACATTTGATCCATAACATAAAGCTTCAATGTCTCCATCAGCTTGAAAAATTTGTTCAAATTGACCTTGTGATATTGAAGATGATCTATAAATTTTATCATTTTGTAGGATAAAATACATGTTGTTAATGTAATACCACTTACTTGTATAATCAATTTTCAAATCTGATGACATCATACTAAACATATAATAATTTATCCCATCCTCACTAATGAAAATTTGATTGACTTCATAAATTAGTACCCATTATTATTAACACATCTAATAGGATTATTTGAATATTTAAATTTAGCATCTTGATTTAAATTACATTTGAACCATTGGATACAATCGAATGAATAACAAGGGCAAAAATCATTCAACCGTTATCATTCCCATAAATTTACCGTTATTATATTCAACATATAAAATTCTTGGATTAATGATTGCTTTCGTGTATCAGGATTCAAAACAGATGGAGGAAATGATTCATAGTTTTTAAAATCATTTGTTTTAAAATAATAAAGCACTCCAGCTGTATAAAATAAATACATGGTCACTCCATCGAAACATATCCATTCAAAAGAATCTATATCAAAGGTTTATCTGATGATTTCATAAAATTTAAAAATGGCGGAGTAAAATAGACCTCTGATTGTTTTATTTCTTCATTAACAAATGATATATTAGCTTTCTTATTTAACTCACTATCCACATATTCCTTATCTGCTTTCTTATTTAACTCATCGTTAACATATTCCTTATCCGCTTTAAGGTCTAAACATCCTGAAACCCATCCTGTATCGGCTTTAGTTTTTAAAATCTTTGATGTCCATTCATGATACCATTCAACCCTTTCTTTAATTTCATTATCTTTTTCATCCACATATTCCTTATCCACCTTCTTATTTAACTCACTATCCACATATTCCTTATCTGCTTTCTTATTTAACTCATCGTTAACATATTCCTTATCCGCTTTAAGGTCTAAACATCCTGAAACCCATCCTGTATCGGCTTTAGTTTTTTTCTTTGATGTCCATTCATGATACCATTCAACCCTTTCTTTAATTTCATTATCTTTTTCATCCACATATTCCTTATCCACCTTCTTATTTAACTCACTATCCACATATTCCTTATCTGCTTTCTTCATTATGTCATTTAGGAAACCTTCTATGAATTCCTCATTTAAATTAAATCTTCCAATCTTCAAAACTTTAGGAAATGCATTTAATGCGTAATATCTCTGTTCTTCTGGTGGAATTGATGTTATATCATCCGTTATACCTTTAATTTTAGAATTCATAAATAAAATTTCTTTTATATTTGATATCACTGCACCACCCTTGCAAACGAATTCGAAATGGTCATTTTTCAATACTATCTCCAAATCTCCATATTTCAACCTTTGCGTTTGTTCTGCCGTCTTTGAATTATATGCATATATGGCGTATGTAATGGTCTGAGGACCTGGTGCTTTGTGCCTTAAGTTGCTGTGGTTGCTGTTGTTTAATCATTTATTATGATTATAAAAATAAATATTTAATCTGTTATCTCATCACCTATTTTTTCTATTTGAAATTGCCATAATATTTCATTCATGAATTCTAAATCACAATCAAATAGGTCAGTTACTCTAAATTTAATATTTGATAAATCTT